GGAGAGCTCAGCTAATAGGGGTCACCGCTCATTATGGAGCCGTACTCCGCAAATTATCCGACATCAGGATGTGGAGAGCGGTGGTTTCGGATGTGCTGAGAGCTCCTGGCTCCATGTTGGCAGCACTGGAGCACTTTGGAATGGGCAGGGAAAGGGCAGTGCCTGCGCTGCTCCTTCCCTGGCCAGAGTGTCCAAGGGCAGCTTCTTCCAGCTCTGCCTTTCCCAGGCATCGACCGCTGGCGCTCATGAAAAAAAGATGATCCAAGGCCGGCGCTGAAGGGCCGGGAAAGCAGCGGGTGGGAGGATGGGGTTCAACAGGATTTGGAGGGGGGGCGGGAAACCTCTCCCAGGCTGTGTCCCAGCATGGCTGTTTCCCTGGCAGCACCTGGAATGAAAAGTGGGATCATCCAGACACCCTGTGTCATCATTCCCAGCTTCCCCTGGGACAGCATTCCGGGTGCTGGGAGCATCAATCACTCCCAAACCCCTTCCCGGCTGGTTCTGGCCCTCCCAGTCAGGATCCAAAGGCACAGCGGGGACTCTGGGAGTTGGGCCCTGCTGAGTCAGGGCAGCGGGGCTGGAGCGACTCCATCGATCGAAACCTGATCCCAAATTGGCTGCGGAGAAGGACCCCGGCACGACCCGGCTTTGAGCTGCTAGGAAGGACAAACCCTCCCGACTCCGCAGGATTTTGGGAGGCAGCATCCGTGCATCCCTAGCCCAAACCCACTGCAGAGTCTCCTGGTTCCACATGAGGTTCTCCTGCATCCCGTGGCTGCCGCGGGCTCGTAGCCAGCAGGAAGGATCCGAGCCCTGTGGCGCAGTCTCAGATCCCGTCTCACCTGCCGAGCAGCTGCTCCCGGGGGCAAAGTCCACACCGCGACCTTCAGCCTCCACCTGCCGCCTTTCCCGACTTTCCTCGGAGCTTTTCAGGCACCCTGGTGATGCCGGAGGGCCTGGAGCTTTCCTCCCTGTTCCAGCAGCCAGGCCATCCCTGTGGAGCCAGGCACCACCCAAACACTGGGAAGGCAGCCGCCTCTGGGATGGCAGAGACCTCAGCCAGGATTCACAACCAAAATTATCCCCAAAAATACGAAGAGCATTGGGAAGCTGAGGTTTATAAAAACCTCAAACTGGACCGTGTGGCATCACCAAGTAGAGATGAGGTGACAGGAGGACAGGGAGTATGTGACATGCTCCATGGTCACTCACCCTGGCTCCTATCTCTCCATCCCCAGCATTCCACATGAATTATAATCCATGCTCCTGGCTCCAAATCTTTCGTTCTTTTAATATTTTTCTGCCTGGTAGAGGAGCAGGAATAAATTCCTTGGATGGAGAGGGCAGCTCCAGGGCTGAATGGGTGAACTCCCAGCTCTGCGTTGCAGCATCCCAAGCTCTCCACCCAGATTCCTGGTGGCTTCAGACTCCGATTAGAAGACTCTAAAATTCCCAACGTGCCTTTTCTAGGAGCCACCACACCTTGGCCTCACTCCGGCAACATGCTGGCGTGCCACGGGCATGGAAAAGTCCAGCAGCTCCAAAGGGCTGGAGCCACCCAGAGCAAACAGGGAGGATGCGCCGAGGGCAAACAGCGCCGGCCACAGCGGGAATGTCCCTTGGAGCCGCTGGCAAATGTGGCGCCGAGCGGCTCTGCCACACGACATTTCTCCCCCCCTAATTAAAATATCCAGAGGATACTCAGTCGCCACTGGGATAATTATTCCCATTCAGGGAGGGAGGCCTGGCTGGGGTTCTGCTGCATTCCCCGCTTCCCACTGCCCCCACGAGTGGGCTTCCAGCCTTCCCTGCGGATCCACAGCCCGCGGATCCGCTGCGCTGCTCATCCACGGGCCAGCGAGCTTGTCCATCATTTATCCACTCATGGAATAACACACGGGAGGATGAGCATCGCCCGGGAGCCAATCTCCGCCGCTCCCCGGGGGCCTCTCCCGGGATGCGCACCGGGAGCCGCCCGGGGCAGCTCGGCGGATCCCGCCCGGCCGCCGGACCGGTTCTGCCCCGCGCTGTGTTTGCACAGAGAAGGCAAACACGGCCCTGCTTCCGCAGCGCCGGGAGCGGCGGAGCGGGAATAGGGAGCGATGGGAACAATGGGAGCAGCAGCCGGGTGCCGCTGCCGGCTCATTAACATCTTTATTAGCTGTGACAAGCGCCGGGTCACCGCCCGCTCATGTCCGACTTGAGGAATAGTTCGCTTCCTAACCCCCTGTAATTGCTCCCGTTAGGCTCCGAAAATTTCCTCGTTTTCCATAAAATTACCCCCGGCTTGGCCTCGGCCCGGAGATTAATTTGGATAAACAGCTCCAGCGAGGGGTAATAAATACAAAGGGAAAGGTTCTCTCTCTGTTGGGTGGGGAGGGAGAAGAGAAAATATCCGTTCTTTCCCCCAAAAAAGAGGGAAAACGAGGAGAAAAGAGCGGGGTGACTCCTTCTGGAGCAGCCAAGCAGCAGAATGTGCCTTTTCCAGGGAGTCCTGAGCGGGCAATTGGGAGACATCCTGGAGACACAGGACTATCTTCCTGTCCAATAGGGACACACTGGGATGGGATTTGTTGTGCCCAGGGATTTAGAATGGCAGGGGCTTCAGACATCCAGAGCTTTAGGATGATAGGGATTTAAGATTGAGTCCTCAGACTCAATTCCCAAGAATTTGGAAATGCAGGCATCCAGTTGCCCAAGGATTTAGGTAGCCTAGACTTAATGGCAGCGGTTTGGGCACCCAGGGACTGGGGGCACCTAGGAATTCGGAATGGCAGCGACGCAGGTTACCTAAGGGTTCAGGGCACCGGGGACTCACAAGGCCCTATTTCGGGCCAGTGTTTTCCTTCCACACTGGCCCGAGAGTCAGGAGGATTCTCGCGGGCAGGTGCCGGGGCGCGGCGGGCGTCGGAGGCTCACGCGTGGCCCTCGCCGAGGCGCCGGGCCCGTGACTCAGCAGCGCTCTCCACCCACCTGGCCCCGCTGGAAGTGACGGTGGGAGCGGCTGAGTGGGAGCGGGAGGTTACGGAGCTGCCGGGCTGTCTGTGCGTGCGGGGATGGGGATTTCAAAGCTCTCTGGAGTGTGTGGGAAGCGGGTGGAGAGGAGCGGAGTGAAAGCCAGGGCCGCTGCCAAGGGCTCCATGAGAAGGTTCCCACGATAGGGGCAGAAATCATTCCGAAATCAAAATAAAGCTCCGTGGCCGCGGGAGGATGCTTCAGTCCCGGGGCACAGAGGGGCGGAGAGGTGCCCCTTTCCCAGCCCATCCGGAGTGCCAGGAAGGCTGGCAGCAGGCTGGCACCGCTCCCCCTCACTGGAAGAGTTTTGCCAGGGTGTACGTGCCGGAGTTTGCCTGGCACGCGGCTCCCAGCCGGCTTTCCAAAGTGGGATGTGGCTGGCCCAGTGCCGAGGTACTGGGAAAAGTCCCCATGCCCAGGGGAGGGCCACCAGGATGGAGCACCTGGTGTGAGTCAGGCACACGAGACCGGATCCCTTACCCCTTATTCCCCAGCCAGGCCATTCCATGCACTGATGAGACGCCGTTGCCCCCAGCTCAGCCCCATCCCTCAATCCAGTGTCCGCCAGTTCAGGGTTTTTAACAGGAGCTATTTCCTGCTTCACTCCCTGCTCCAAACCCAGCCTAGGAGCAAGGAAAGTCCCATGTTAGTCCTCCAAAGAGCTTCCAAACCCTGGCGGTGGTGGTTTCCTGCCTTTTCCCGGCCCTTTACGACTCCAGAGAGATTCCAACTGATTCCCAACGGTTTGGGGTGGAAGGGACCTTTAAAGGTCACCTGGTCCGAGTTTCATTCCACAAGGCCAGGTTGGGCTCTGCCTCTGGAGGTTCCCACTAGTCCTGGACCAGCCAGGAGTGTCCCAGCCCCATTGCCCCATGCCGGAATGGGTCTCTGACCCCATCACCCCATCCTGGGATGAATCTCTGATCCCCTTACCCCAGCAGAGAGCGGGAGCCTGCACGGTTCCCAGTTCCAGGAGGAAACCCCCAGCCTCCATCGTCTTTCCCCCTACTGTGGCCTCCATCCATGGGCACATCCTGCATCAGCGGGGTCTCCTCCTTGGTCGCGCTCCCTCGCACCCCGGAGACCGTCATGCCCTCATCCCTGGGACCCGATCGGAGCGGCAGGAATTCGCTGGGAATTGCCTTTGAGCGATGGTGGGATAACGGGAGCGAGCTCCGAGAAATCCACTCCGTGTTTTGCGGCGCCCGCCGCGCCCGCCGCGCCCGCAGTGCCCCGGCAGCGCCCGCCGCGCCCCGGCTCCGCCAAAACCCGGCCTGGATCACGCCGGAGCGCGGCACACGGAGCCTGCGGGGGCCGACAGGGGTCCCGCGCGCTGCCCCACTCGTGTGCGGGGGACCCGGGGCGGGCTCGGCCTTCCCAGGGAATGCCACCGAGAGAACACGAGCTAGCGGCCCCCTGTGCCACCCCTGTGCCGGCCCGCCTGTCTCTGCCCCTTGTCACGCGTGTCCCGTTCCCCGCGCGGGTGCGACGCGTGGATCCAGGGGCACCGCGGTCCCGCGGCCGCGTTACCGGAGCCGAGCGTGCGGGCCGGCGGGGGCGTCACCGCGGGCGGTGGCACCACCCCCCCCCCCGGCCCCCCCCCCCCCCCCCCCCCCCCCCCCCCCCCGCCCCCCCGCCGCTCCGCTCCCTCCTCCCTTCCCGGCGGCTGCAGTTTCCAATCCCGCCAGCAGCGAGCAGCAAGTGGATGCAGGATCGCGCCGCACACGCACCCGCACACACCCGCACACGCACCCGCACACGCACCCGCACACGCGCGCACCCCGCAGCAGCGGGCGGCCAGCACGGGCTCCGCGGGGCTCTCGGCCCCCCGCCGCCGCATGCGGGCCCCCGACGCCCCGCCGCCGCCCCCCGCCCCGCCGCCCCCTCCCGCTGCCGCCTCCGCCGCCGTCTGATGAGCCGCGGCCCCGCTGCACCGGGCAGCCGCCGCCCCGCCGCCCCGCCGCGCCCCGCCGCCGCCCGCCACCATGTACCTGCACCCGGAGGCTGCCAGCGCAGGTGAGCCCCGGGCCGCCGGGGAGGGGGGGACGGAGACACGCAGGACGCGGGGACACACACCTGGGGGTGTCCGGCCGCTCGCCGCCCCCCGGGGATCCGCCGTGGCCGCTGCCCGCTTCCCCCCCGCGCCTCCCCGGGAGTTACGGTAGTTTGGGGAGAAAGTCACGGCCGCCGCTGTCACCGCGCTGCGGAGCTGCCGGAGCCACGGACACCCAGCACCCGGCGACACCCCAGCCCCCGCGGGCATCATCCTGCTCCCCAGCCCCCCAAAAAACACAGGGCGAGCCCCAAATCCTGCTGGGTGTTGGCGCCAGGACTAGCATCCAGTACATCCCCCCCTCTCCTCACCCTGAGGAGCTGCTGGAGCCCTGGATTCCCCCCGGGACACCCGAAGCCCCGGGTGCAGCATCCCACTCCCCAGACCCCTAGCAAACCCCCAGAACCCCGGAAGAGCCCCCAGTTCCTGCATCCAGACCAGCATCCAGCGGTCAGCATATCCCTGCTCCTCACCGCCCGCCCCCTCCGTCCTTCTGGGGGTCCCCCAGCCCAGTCCTGCTGCACCTCCGGAATGACACCGGGACACGCGGGGGTGGGCAGCTGGGGAAGGGGCTTTCTCGGGCGCGGATTTGCTGAGCTCATGCTCGGAAGGCAGCAGTCGGCTCCGCACCAGGGAATCTGGGACGCTGGCGGGGACGTTTTGGGGGTGCTCGAGCCGGTGCGGAGACACAGGGATGCTGTCGGAGCGATGCGGATCAGCGGGGCCTGGCAGCTGTCCCCGGCCGTGTCCCGGGGCCCGGGGAGCGGGCAGAAGGACAGCGTGTCCTGCGGTGGCGTGGGGACGTGCCGGCGGGGACGCGGGGACAGCGGGCGCCGCCGGGGAGAGCTGCAGGTGCCAGGCCTGCGGGATCCTTGGGCCGGCTGGGGAGCGCCGGGCACCGCCACGCGCTGTCACCCGCGGCAGGTGACGGCGTCACTGCTGCCCGGGACTTGGCAGCTCCGGCCGAGCTGCCTTCGAGGGCAACTTTGTGCCTGCCCGCAGGCTGAGCGCTCCCACCGGGAACGGCTCCATCCCGTGCCACCGAGACCCCGCAGGGATGCCCGGAGCTCGGCACGGCACTGTTTGGCCCAAGGTCACCCGGCGGGTGGGTAGCAGAGGGGGGACGCCGGTCTGTCCCCGCCGGCAGCAGCGTGGCAGGGCTGCCCTTCCCTCCCGGTGCCCGAGATTTGCCCCTGCTTTGTTCCCCCTCCAAACTTTGCACCTGCCCCAAATTTGTCCCCCTTGCCCCTGACAGATGTCCCCGTCGGCAGCCGGTGGGCCACCGACGGCTGCCTGTGTCATGGTCAGCACTGCTGGACGCTCCTAGGCAGAGCTCGAGCTGCCGGATTTGGGGGGACAGACCCCCTGTCCCCGCTTCCCAAACCCCGTGCTCCCCGGTGCTGGGGCTCCCGTCACGTGGGAGTTTTCCCACGTCACCGGCGGCTGCTGTGCCGTGGCGCCTGGAGCCGTGGGGTGCTGGGGGTGCACACACCTGTGCAGGCACCCTGGCACTGCCTGCTTTCCTGGATCTTCCCACCTTTCCTGGATTTTCCAGACGTGGTGCTGAGGGCGTGACGGGTCTGTCCCCCACCCTGATGGAGGCTGAGAGGGTGCTGGTAGCTCATATCCCCGCAGGATTTGGGAAGAGCCAGCCAAGCCACATCCGGGGGTGAAGCGGTGCCTGTTGTCCCTCCAAAACACTGCCCGAGGTGGCACCAGCCTCGTTCTCCTCGTCCCTTGCTCCGTGTCACCGTGTGGGGAGAGTGGCTGCGGCCCCCAGCACTGGCTGCGTTTCATGGGCGAAGATGCCGGGAAATTCGGGAAACTTTGCTGTCCAGGGAAAGAGGGATCTGGGGGGTGACGTGGAGCCCGGAGGTGCTGCTGGGGACGTTCTGCTTCTGGGGTCGGAGACGCCCGAGGGAGTCTGGTCTTGGCCGGCAAGGGGTGTTGGGAATTGGGATCAAGCTGAGGCGCTTCCCAGAGCGGCTCCCGCCAGCTGGAGGCTTTTCGGGGAGCCGCAGGGGGCTGTGCTGCTGGGGGACCACCAAATGATGTGCCAGGAGAGCCGCTTCCGAGCGCGAAGCAGAGCTTGGGGCCGCCCGCAAAGGTGCCCTCTGTGCCACAGGGACAGCGTCCCCCTTGCTTTGGGAACATCGGACACCTCCTGTCCCCTTGCCAGACACCCCCCTCCATCCCTGTCCCCGCTGCTGCCACCAGCTGTCCCCTTTGGGGCGACGTTCGCATCCCCAAAGCTCCATCTTAGCTCAGCCAGCAGGTGCCGGGGGGCCCTGCTCCCCACGTCCCCATCTTTCCCGGCTGGAAGCGTTCCGAGCAGAGCCGCGCGGCGGCTGGAGGTGGTGAATCAATAACCAGGCAGCAGCTGCCTGTTTTCCCCCCGCATCGCCTCGGAGCGGGCGATGGATCGCCCTGATGTTGGCGCGGCCGTGGGAGCAGCTCCCCGGGGCTCTGGAGAAAAGCCGGGCTTGCAAAGGAGCCGGCACATCGCGAGGAGCGAGGCGGGGGCCGCCGGAGGGGCTGGCAGCGGGATGAGGGAGCGTGACGGGCGGGAAGGCAGACAAAGAGCGCAGGGATGGCAGCGCACGGGCCTCGCCGGGAGCCGGGCACCTGCTGCAGCCTCGCGTCCCGCGCGGCGCCCACACGGAACGGGAGCTCCACACCCACCCGGGACCCCCATCCTGCGCCGCTCTGGGGTCCCCCCTCCCAGCCAGCCCCTCTGCTCCAGCCCGGGGGATGCTCCTGCCCGCGTCTCGGAGCATCCCCCGTGGCCTCACCCTGGCCCTTTGTCCGCCACGGCGAGTCCCTCCCATTTTCGGTGGCAGTGAGGGGGGGTCCACGCGGATGCTGAGCCCCCCACGGTGGGGGTTCCTTGCTCCCAGCAATCGCCACCAATTTCAACCCTTTCAGCCTCCCCACGCCCGCACTGACGTGTCCCAGGACCCCCCTGAGCACGGCTGGGGCACAGCAAGGACAAGGACTGGTTGGCTCCCCGCTGGGCGGGGGGTCTGGCAGGGAGGTCTTGCTGATCCCCCCTGACTCCAAGGAGCAGGAGAGGAGCTGGAGGCGGCTTTTCCAGCGCCTGATCTCGCGGCTTTTCCGCCTGCCGAGGAAGGAGGGGGGAGCGGGGAATGAAGACAGATGCAGATAATATCGCTGCCACCCCCCGGCCCCCGGGGGCTCAGCTACAATATCCATTATGGATGGATCCGGCGAGGGAACGGCTCCTGAGAGCCGCCGGAGCGCGGGGATGATGAGCAGAGCCCCAGCGTCGAGCAGGGGGACGGACCCCCCTGGCTGTGACTGGCAGGGGGCCTGGGGGACGTGTGTGGGGCCAGGCGGGGCGTGGGGGGCGGCGGGTTGGGATGTGCCAAGCGGAGCATCCCCCATCCCTGTGGGTGCCAGCGCGGCTGTGGCACGGGAGGCTCCGAGCCCGCCTGCCAGCTCCGGGTGCCCCCTCAGCGCCCTGTCCCCTCCTGGTGTCCCCAGGCCTGGCTGCAGGAGGGAGAGGGTCACCTTGGGGGGAGTTAATGAGGTTTGAAGGGAAGCGGTCGCGCCGGCGGGGACGGAGCCGGCGCGGCGGCGGAGGGACAGCGCAGCACAACAGCCCCGCTCCCGGCCCTCCGAGGGGGGCACAGCCCGCGGGATGCACCCCGGGGGGGGCTCTGGGTATCCAGGGAAAGCGGGGCGATCGGCTCTTCCCCTGCGGATGGGGCTGTGGGACTCTGGTGGCTGCGGGGGGGCGATGGGTCCTGTCCCCGCTCCACCATGGATGACCATCCCTGCTGCCCCATGGATGACCCTGCCTGCGTGTCCCTGGAGGATGCAGCCCCGGGATCAGGCTTTGCTGGAGGATTTCCACCACCCCCACCTCCCCCGGGCACCTTCCCACATCTGAGTCCCCAGTCCTTCCTCTGGGGCCTTCCTCGGCCCTTCATTCCCCTCCTCTGCCTCCTCCCTCCGAGCTGCGTTTCTCCATCTTTCCATGTGTTCCCCTCCAAGCCTCCTCTTCCTCTCCCAGCACCGCCAGCCCCTGGGTCTGAGGGCTGTGGCCGCCCCTGAGCATCCCCATCTTTGAACTCCCCATGGGAATCCCGTCCCCACGGTGGCCTTGCTGTCACAACACGTGGATCCCGGGTGACGTGCCTGGGGGGCACTGCCTGGGGGGAATCTGGGAGCTGGGATGCCAGCGGGGGGCTCGTGGAGCTGGGATGGGCTGCAAGGAGCCTGCCCGCCCCTGTTCCCTGGGAGCCGCTGGCTCTCTGCCTTCCCTCTCTCCTGCTGTCACCCGAAGGGCTCGGGAATGATGGAGAGCCCTGGGGCGAGAGGCTAAGTGGCGACGGCGCGAGAGCTGGCAGTGCCACTCGGGATGAGAGCCCAGCCCGCTCCTCCGTGCCCGCTGCCAGCGCCAGGAGAGGATTCTGCGCCAAGGGAAGGGGGGCTGGGGTGACTCCAGGGTGGGGAGCGATGCCCAAGGGCTCGTTTTGGAGCAGGGATGACGTGGAGCACCAGCCTGGCCAGGGGATGAGCGGCGTGCTCTCAGGAGCAGGAGTTGGGATGGGGATGGATGCAAACCGCGGGAGCAGAGGGGGCTCCGGGGTTCTGGGTGCTCCTCTGGAAGAGAGACGCGGTGGGGACCACGAGGCAGAGAAACCACACGGCTCTCCGGAAATCCTCGGCCAAAAATAGCCCGGCACCAGGGAAGGAGCGCCTTCTCTTGCCAAATTCTCCCTCCATCCCCAGCTCCTGCTCGCCGTGGCCGCGGAGCGGGGACGGGTGGCATCAGGGCTGGAGGGGACACAGGAGGGACACATCCATGCACGGCAGCTGATGGGGATAGGGGATGTCTGGGAGCATCTGCCCGAAGCTGTGCAGCGTTTTGGGACAGTGCTCACCTCCCCCAGCCCGCCGTGGTGGAGCCGGTGTTGGGAGGCTCTGCCACCCGGAGCCCCCCAGGACTAGCAGCTCGGCGTGGGGGAGGCAAAGCCAGCCGGATTGACAGCTCCGGGGGATGGACAGATGGCTGGATGGAGAGGCAGATGTGTACGAGGGATGGATGGACGGATGGATGGATGGAGAGATTGATGGATGTGTCGGAGAGGGGGACGCACGGATAGACAGACAGATGGAGAGCAGACGTTCTCGCCCAGAGCACGCCTGGGGTGCTGAGCTGTGGCACCACTCCTCTCCCCCGAGGCTCATCCCTGGATCTTGCCGGGCAGTAGGATGGCCGTGGGGCTTCCAATGATCCTTCACATCTACACATCCCCTGGGAGCACGTGGACAGGTGGCACCGCAGGACCCAGCTGGCCCAGCCTTCCAGCTCTTCCACGTGACACGCCAAGCCTGGCTCACAGCATTCCCAAAATGCCCACTGGGTTGTCACCAGGCATGGCAGCAAAGCCTCATCCCCCTCTGTGCCCATCCCTTCTCCCTTTCCCTGTGCCAAGGGTTTGGATTCCACGTTCCTGCTGTGCCCGCCGGGGTCCTGCCCCGCTCCCCTCCCCGGCCCCACACCCGGGATCCTGCACAGGAGCGAAAGCTGCAAATTCACAGCTTTTCAGCTGCATCCTAAAAATAATAGGTTTGGGAAATATCGAGCAAATGAGTGGGAGGATGAGAAGAGGAGGAATTAATGGCCTGGCGCCAGGCAGGCAGCATCTGGGAAGCCCCGGCGTGACAACGTGGCCACCTCGCTCGGTGCCGTGTGGCCCTCCACCCCGGCAGCACGAGGGCCTGCTCCGACGCCACATTCCTGCCCTATCCCTTCCCATCCCACAGCTCCTCCCCAGCGCCACCATCCCCATCCAGGCTCGGCATCACATCCCGCTCCGGCTCCGCAGCTCACGAAGGCGCACGGTGGAATGTCGGGGGGAGGAGGGGAACGCGCTGCTCGCTTGGCACCTTCTCCCGCTGCCCTTTTCCCGGGAATACACGCGTTTCCGCTGCCGGTTTGGCGGCTTGGCACATGGAGCCGTTTCTCCATGTGGAGCTGTGGATGTCGGCTTTGATCACCACTTCCAGGGAGCTCAGCGGGAGCTTGGCCTGGGGGGGCTCCCCGCAGCTTTGATTTTGCCCCCCGGGGTACTTGGCATCCATGGATCTCGCCGCTGGAACAGGATGAGTGGGAGGATGCTCCGGGAGATGGAGCTGTGATACTGAGCAGCTGCAATGTCCACAAAAGCTGGGAATTTCGGGGTCTGGACACAAAAATATTGCCTGGACAAGGCCATCCACTGTGACACCTGCAGAGAAGTCGGGTCCAGCCATGGTGCTACAGGTGTGAGGCTTGTTCCAAAGCCTTTGCTCATCCAAAGCCTCCAGCACTCCATGGAGGTTCCAGCCTCTCCATCCCAGGATAGCAGGAGCTGTAATTTGGGAGAGCTGGAACCATCCATGGATGCCCTTTGCAGGGGCTTTGCCTTCCCAGCTTTGCTCCAGGGCTGTGAGCTTTGGCTGGAGGTGATGGCAGAGCTATCGGATGGCCCTGAATCCTGGGATAGGCACAGGGAAACAGGGAGGGAAACGGGTGGAGCTGCCCGTGAGCCTCATTGTGCCGGGCTCGAGCGATTCCTGTCCTGGACCTGAGTGTGCACAGGGCCACCAGCACCACAAAGCCACCAAGGTGTCCAAGGGCTGCTGGGATGCACAGGGTCACCAAGATGCCAGGGCCACCAGGATGCCCAAGGCCACCAGGATACACAGGGATGCTGGGATGTGTAAGATCACTTGGATGCACAAGGCTACAAAGATGCACAGAATCACTGCGATGCCCAGGGCCACCAGGATGCACAGGGATGCTGGAATGTGCAGGACCACTGGGATGCCCAGGGCCACTAAGATGCTCAGGGACACTTCTGGGTGTCCCTGGAATGGCTGGGGGCTGTGCCACGGCTCCCACATCCACCATTCCTGAGCCGCGTGTCGGATCCGTCGGCATCGGCTGTTCTTCCCTGCTTCGGGTGTGTCTTGCCGGATCTCCGGCCCACACGCCGCTGGAGAGGACTAATCCCTCTTGGATCTCCGCTCCTCTCCTTGTGCCGGGGTCGGGTTTGAAGTGTTTCCTCACATCCACAAAGGCCGGAGTTCGCTCGTGCTCCGGAGGCAGCTAATCCCGAGCCCGCAGCAGCGGCGGATAAAGAAGGATAGGCACGTGATTGCATCCCTGGCTCCCAAACATTCCCCATCTCCCACTCCGAAGTGGGCATTGTGAAGGGTGCAGGGTGTTCCCAGCTTGTCCTAGATCTACCATGGAGACCCTTCCCCTGAATCCAAAGCTCTCTCCACTGGCACAGGGATCCTCTCCCCTGACATGAGGACCCTCTGCCTGCATCCAGAGCCCTTTCCCTCTGGAACAGGGACCCTCTTCCCCGGCTCACGCAGCACCGCACAAATCCCACGCTGGAGAGCTGTGGAGCTAAGGAGGCAGGTAATCCTCTCATCAATAACGGCCTGGAAAAGTGGAATTATATCCCGTCAAGTGGCATTGAATCCTGATGAAAGAGCCGCGGGTATGTTCCACCCCCTTCCCAGCCTCCGCAGCATCCCCTGCTCCGCCAGCACGTGGGACGGGATTGGGACCTCCATCCCTCCGAGGAGAGACGTGGGGTCTCCGCCTCCTAGTTCCCCTCTCACTGCGCCCTTGGGATGAGGCAGGACCAGCCAAAGGCCGCTGGGATTTGGGACATGGCCTCAGGGACCCCAGGGCCGTGGACCCTCAAGTCCCACCCAGCCGTCTCCACGCTCCCGCCTGGATCCGCTCTGGCAGCCGCGGAGATTTATGGAGAGCGGCGGGGAAGGAGGGCCAGCGGCGGTGTAAACAAGCGTCGCGTTTTCACCTTGTCACCCACGCCCGGGGCTGTGTCCCCGTGCCACGCAGCTCCCCGAGTCCCCCCCTGGATCCACTCGCCCCAGGGCATCCCATGCCGCGCATCCCAAAGGGCACAGGGACCCTCACACCGCGCCCCAGGGTTGGGGACGCGCCAGGAACTCCGAGCGGCTCCGAGTCTTTAATTAACCGAGTGCTAATTGCCTGGAAAACGAGTCATTTAAGTCATGCTGAGGGCGGCGCAGCCTGGGGGCTGGAGTCGCTCCCCCCGCCCTGGGGACACGGCGTGATCCCACTGGGAAGGGCCGGACCCACCCCGAGCACAGGGACACCCCTGGAGCCCCCCAGGCGGGATCCCTCTGGTGAATCCATCAGGATCATGGGGTGACGCCAGGTTTGGGGATGTGGTGGCACCTTGGCACGGGGAATCTGGCCCCGGGAACCGGCGCTCACTGATGTACCTCTCCAGACACAATTTGGCCTCTGCAGTGCCCACCCCTTCCCTCGCCTTCCCCTTTGATTCCCTCTCTCCAGATTAATTTGAGGATGAACTTGACCTCGGCAAGGACCGAAGGATCTGTTGGAGCTCCGGGCTAAACCAGAGGGGTCACGGTGTTCCCAACCCGGAGCAGGGAGCACCAAGCGGGAGGCAAGGAGGGCTCATCCCAATTCCCAGACTGCCCAGTAAGGCCCAGTGCCCCTTGAACTGGTCGGGGTCCCACCCAGAAGGGGTGCTCGGCGCTCTCCGGCCGTGCCGGCTGCTTCCCATTCCCTCGGCAGCTTATCCAGCCAGGGTTTATAAATGTTGGAAATTAAGGGCTGGTCCCAAATTCCCTCCTAGGCAACAGTTGCTATGTGAGTTTTATACACAGGCTCCTCGTGATCCGGGAGCGATGGAGGAGCTGCCTTTGGATGGAGAGAGCGCGGGTGCTGCAGGGGGGACCTGTCCCCAAAACCACCCCCACCGCATCCCACCCTCATCTTCTCCTCAAGGAATTTTTATAAATCTCCCCTTCATGGCCGCCATCCCCTTTCCTCGTCTGATTCCAGCGGGGATGTGGGAGCTCTGGGTGCCTCGGCACGTGCTGGAGGCGATTCCAGAGCCCTGATCCCCCCTCCTGGTCCACTCTGACTCACCCCGGCCTCGGAGCCGCCGGGAAATTTCGTTACAATAACAAGGTCTGCGGGTGAATTAATTATTAACATTTATTGTTTAATATTTATACTGCAGCACCGCTCCCGGCGCTGCTCCGGCCGCGCCGCCTCCCGCCGCCAGCTGGGGCTCCCACCACGGACAATCCCATCCCAGCGGGCACGGCGGGATGCGGAGCAGCCACAGGGATGCTGTGCTGGGGGTCCTGTCTGGAGACAAAGCTGAGCCGGTTTGGGGTCCCACGGGATCCTTCTGAGCCACCTTGGGGTCCGTATTCTCACCCCACAGTGGTCATTCCGCATGCTGGGAGCATGGACGTGAGTGGAAGTGTTGGATGAGGTTGATAGGTCCTTCCCACGCTTTTGGGATCCCCACGGTTGCCCCCACGGCCAGGCTGGGGAGGAGAGGGTCTGCACTGTCATTTGGGATGAATCCACGTGGATTGGCTCATACAGCAGCAGCCGCGGCCTTTGTCGGCTGTGCCAGCGCTCCCAGGGTGCCAGGGAGGATTAGAGCTCCAACCTGAGCTCCTGGGAAGCGATCAGGGCCGGATTTTCCCCAGGACACACTCACTGGGACCCCAGAAACCAAGGAGGTGGCCACCGTGACGGGACACTGCACAAGGCGGTTGGAACCTGTTGGACCACATTCCCTGTGTTTTTCCTCCCTGGAAACACCCCAGGAACACCCCAGGATTTAGGTCTGACTCCCCCTTTGTGCTCTGCTCCCCCCAGGGACCCCCTCCCGCGACGTCCTCCTGGTCTCAGCCATCATCACCGTCAGCCTTAGCGTCACCATCGTCCTCTGCGGGATCTGCCAGTGGTGCCAGAGGAAAATGGTGAGTGTCCGGCTTCCCTCCCGACCCCCGAGCCGCCGGTCAGAGGGCAATTCCCTCTTCCAGGGCAGCAGCCAAGCGGAGGCAGCTCCCGGGAGCTGCCGGCTGCAGCTTCTATTTGGGCTTTTCCGGATGTGCTAATGAAATGTTTGGGCGAAACTGTTTGTGTGGCACAAAGGGAAGTTTCCAAATATATGGATATATATTGGTGACGAGCCGGAACGATCTGGCCCCTGTCCTGCTGGGCACGCTCCTGCCTGGAAAAGCCCCGTGGGAAGGCGGCCAGCCCGTCCCTGGCAGCGCCAGGTGCCGTGAGCCATCCCCGCCGCCCTCTGTGCATCCCTACTTCCCTCCCTGATTCCCACCGGGGGCTTAGGACAGCGCTCCTTCCCACCCTACATCCTTACTCCTCCTCCTCCTCCTCCTGCTCCTCTCCCGGGAGCAGGACGTGCTCGGCCACGTTTCCTTCCTTCGCCATCGGAATCGAATCTGGGTCAAGTGCTGCGATCGCAGCGGCGCTTCCCCCCGGGGAGATGCCCACTCCGAGCCGTGGGAAGGCAGCATTCCCTTGGGAATGGGAGAGGAAAGCATGGCGATGAGGCAGCGGGAGAGCAGAGGGTGGGAAGGGCCCTTCCAGGTGCCACCCAGGGGATGGGGAGACAGAGCTGGCAGAGGAAAAAGCACTGGAAAGGAGGAGGCTGGAGCTGGCAGAGGAACAAACAAGTGTAAATTGGCCGGGAAGGCGCATCCCAACCGGCCCTCGACAGCACCCGGAGCTGGAGCGGCTGTGTGGGAATGACGGCCAAGCCCAGCGGGCCAGCTCCGGGCAGTGCCCACACGGCCACCGCTGCCGTGTCCTTACGAGCCCCGAGACGCCACAGCCAGGGGACACAGATGAGCTCAGGGTTGGGGGATGATTCCCTCTGGGATGGCCTGTGAGCATCCAGCAATGTCAGGCACGCCCGTGCTTCCCGGCGGGATTAGCCCATGGGCATCCAAGGAGGTCCAGGTGTTCCCCTACAGCTGCTGACAGCATTAGCCTGGGGCATCCCAGGATATCCAACATCCCTGCAGTTTCTGGCAGGATTAGCCAATGTGAATCCAAGGAGGTCCAGGTGTGTTTCTCCACAGCTCTCAGCAGCATTAGCCTTTGGGCATCCAAGGAGATCCAACATCCTTGCAGCTCCTGGCAGAATTAGCCCATGGCTGCCCAAGGACACTCTGCTGAGGGTCCAGGTGTCCCAGCAAGCCAAGGACATGGCTCCATGTGGATATGATGAGGCTGGGAATAAGGAGAAAGGAGAAACATTCCCATTCCATAGGCAGGCTGGATCAGGCCTGGCTCCTGAGATCCAGGACCAGTGGGTTGGAAGGGCCGGTTTTCCACCCCATGCCATCCCATCTCATCTACCTGGCACTGCATGGAACATCCTCGCTCCCAATTGTTGGATAATTTGCATTAATTGTTTCCTGCCCACCCTGGCTCAGAGCAGCGTTTGGAACCTGTCGGAGTGCCCTGATTATCAGCCCCAGTTTGGAGCCAGCTCCAGCTTCATTATCCTACAGCAGCACTTCCCTGGCACTGGGAAAGGTGAACTCAATTAATTCAGGCCCAATTAGGCCTAAAATTATCCACTCCTTCCCAGTGAGGCCATGGAATGGGATGCCAGTGGAAGTGGCCATGAGCCCCCAAGGACCAAGGGATGGAGCCTTTGGGAATTTTGCTGTCTGGATGGGTGGGATGGAGCCTGGAGACCATAAGAGAAAGGGCAAAATCAAAGTGGTGGCAGTTCCCATCTTCCACTGAGATACTCTGGGGGTTCTCTGCCATCCCCTGACTCCCCTCTCTTTTCTTTCCCACAGGGAAAGCGTTACAAGACTTCCCTGGAGACTGTGGGAACTCCTGATTCCAGCCGAGGCCGCAGCGAAAAGAAAACCATCAAGTAGGTGCCAGGATGGGGGGGGAGAGGAAAGACAGAGGTGGCCATCCCTTCTCCCAGTGGGAGAGGGGCTCTGGGAGACTGGGAGAGCTGGTGGGTGTCTCCAGCATCCTTGTGTATCCCACTGAGCTGTGGGCATGGTGGAGTCATGGGAACATCAGCGTGGGTGTCCCCAGGGATGCTCCAGGCCTGGGTGTGTGGATTCTGAGCTCTGCCAGGCAGGACTGGAGTGGCTCTGCATCCCAAGGACATTCCATGGAGAGAGGAGAGCAGAGCTGGGGCATTCCACAGCGCTGGGTAGGGAGCGAAGTGGAGGCTGGAAGCTGAGAGGTTTCTCCTGGGCATCCCAGATCCAGCACTGCCTCAGGCTGTGCCCAGGCACCCTCTGCAGTACTCCAGGGAGGAGGAAGCTGGACCACCGGGAGGGAAAAAGCTCCTGCCTGGAATAAGCCTATGGAAAACTTCCTCCCATGGCTGGCCTGGGTGTTACTGGGGTGCCTGGATGGCTGCTCCCAGCCAACCAGGATGAGCTGGGAATGGAGGGGAAGGAACATCCCACCCGATGTCATGGCACAGGCAGCTTTCCCAAACTCCAGCACATTCTATACAGCCGGGATCAACCCAGAGCTGCAGGTGGGCTCTGGGGACTTTTCCACCAGTCTCCCAGCACCAGCGGGGACCTGCTGGGGACCCCGGCCCCTGGCACGCAGCTCCCAGAGCCAGGTGGTCCGAGTTCTGTGCTGGCAGCAGGGTGGTTCTACAAGGGAAGGGATCCACAAGGAAAGGGATCCGGAAGTGAAGGGATCCAGAAGGGAAGGGATCCGCAAGGGTCTCCAACACACAGCAGTGCCACGGTTAACCAAGCACTTCCAGGACCCGGCTGCTGAGCAGGCGAGGACACACGGACACACGTGCCGAGGGCACACGGACACACATCTGGGAATGCCATGCAGGCACTGCGCTCGCCGACACGTCCCTAACCCCCCACATCCTTCTCTCCTTCCCAGCCGGTGGAGCCGCCCTCTCCTATCTTTCCACAGCTCTTCCCATCCTTCCATCCTTCTGTCCGTGTCCATGTGTGTGTGTGTGTGTGTGTGTATGTCGGTGTCCGAGGGGTGGGCTCCCCGTCTCTCTCCGCAGGATCCTGGCGCTCCGGGGGCAGAGGGCTGCTTTTCCTTCTCTCTCGCAGGAATTCAGCTTCTCTCTCTTGTATTTCCCTTTTCTTTCTCCCCCGGAATCCGGCCGCTGTAGCGATCTAGACAGAGACTTTTGGAATAACAATGACAACACAGTGCAGCAGAAATGGAGCTCCTACCCTCCCAAGGAGTTTATCCTAAACATTTCTCCTTACGCTCCGTACGGTGATCCGCGCCTTTCCCTCAAGTGAGTCTCTCCTTACCGGGTTTGCTCCGTGTAGTGAGTATATGGGCAACACCCACTCGCCTTCCTCCTCCTCTTCCTCCTCCTTCTCCTCCTGCTCCCGGGCTCCCCGCACGCCACCCCATGGGCCGTCCCATGGAGACGAGCAACCCCTCCTTCCCGCATTCCCGGGGCCGGCCGGGATCTCCCTCCAGGACGGGGTTGCGCGTTGGGGGCACCCCCTCGGCGCGGGGACGGGTCCCCCCGGGGCTGGGCTGCCGGCGAGCGGGACCCCCCTTCCCGACCCCTGTCCCTCCTCCGCCCTTTCTCTTGGATGTTTTGCCGAGGCCCCCGCGCACCCCGCGGCCAGGACCCTTTTTTTTTGCAGTGCTGATGTCTCTCTTTTTCTCTCTGTCTGTCTGTCCGTCTCTTGTCCGTCTGCCCCCTCCGGCTCTGTCGCCCTCCCCTCATCCCCTGACGGCTCCCCACGTTTTCCACGTCCATCCGTGTGTCCGTCCGGCTCCTTTCGTGTCTGTCTGGGGGGGTCCGGCCGCCGGCCCGGCCCAGTGGCTCTCTGTTATCAGGGGCCAAGCTGACGGCGTCGGCCGCCGCCGGGCTGTCCGGGGACCGCGACGGCCGGCCCGGGGACAAGCAGCGGCTCGGCGAGGATGGAATGAGGAGCAGCGTGTCCGCCCACAGCGAGCCCGGAGCGGGAAAGGCGGCACGGGGCCGCTGGCACACGGTGCAGAGCCACTTGGCCGCAGGGAAGCTCAGCCTGTCCAAGTGAGTGAGCAAGGCACGGTCCGGCACGGCACGGCCACGGCCACGGCCGGCGGGTCCGGGCGCCCGCTCCCCGCTGCGGATGCGCTTGGATAGGGGCCACCAACAGGTCCCCAGGACCACCGTGCCGAGGGAGACGAGGCGTTTCCCGTTCTCCTAGCGGTATTTTGGCTCAGGGACAGCAGAGGAGGCAGCCGGCCAGGAGCAGCACCTGTGGGTGCTGTCCCCAGTGTGTTTCCAGGGCTGAGGGTGGCCCTGTCCAATGCCGGTGGGAAGAGGCTCAGCATTCCTAACTCGGCTTTTCAGGGCAGGCAGCGCTACCTCGGAGGTGTCCCAAAGGCAGGAGGTGCTGTCCCATGCTCCCATTCGCTCAGGGACAATCAGGGACAGTGTGTGCCATCTTCCCTTCGTGCGCTCCCTTGACCCCTGGCACAGCCACCGGACCCGGCGCCGGCACCACCACCTGATGATGCCGAGGAAAGTTGAGGAAAGTCCGAGACTGATCAGATTTAGGGAAAATCCGAGCTCTGTCAGGCTCTGCGGGGCTCCAGGTCGGGGTGGGGGTCTCGGCGAGACCTTTCACTGCCGGCAGCGCCGTGGCTCTGGCGGGGGTGACGGGGGTGTGCTGGCTGTGCGCTCCGTCCGGCGTTCCCGGTCTCTGCTCCGGTTCTCCGCGCTGGGATGCGGCAGCCGGGGGGTCCCAGCAGTAGCGCCGGCACTCCGGGAGAGTTCGGTGACACCGCCCGTTCGGCGTGAGGCTGCTCCAATCGGGCACTGAGAAACAGGAGGGACAGGCGAGGAAAAGCGGGAGCGGCGCGGCCTTCAGCCGACACCCCGCTGGGAATGCGGACAGACGGATGGGCTCGGACAGACGGATGGGCTGGCGCAGGCGGCAAGGGCAGGGTTAAGGGGACGTGAAGGAGCATCCTGTTCTCCAGCATCCCCTTGACTGGGGGTGTCCCGGGGTGCAGGCCGAGGGTCTGGCTGTGCCGGTGCCAGGGGATCCATCCGGGCACGGGCAGGGCGCGGTGCCGCCTGGCACGGCGCTGGAGGAGCTCGCGCCTCCAGCTGGCGCGGGGCCGACAGGAGCCAGATTTAGTTTCCTGTGACTGAGAGGTTGTAAATTGAACTAATTTAGGATTCGATAGAAAAACGAAAGGAGGTCGGCGTCGGCGCGGAGGGGGAGGCGGCATCGTCCGGGCAGTGCCTTCGGTCCCGGCCGTGGGGCTCCGTCCATCCTAGCTCTCTGCTCCTCTCCACTCCCTCCCCTCCTCTCTCTCTTTCTCCCACCTTTCGCTCTTTCTTCATCACTTTTTTTTTTTTTTTTTTTTTTTTTTTTTTTTTTTTTTTTTTTTTTGGTTTTTGGAGCTGTCTGTCCCTCCTCGCTCCTACTCTGTCCCCGCTGCTAGCATTGCACGATGGCACAGCTTCTCCCCTCGGTCCCAGCCGGCAGCGCCGGGACGGGGACAGGGTCAGTGGCTGCTGCTCAAGGCCACTCCTCAGTGCCAGGCGGTGGTCCGGGAAGGACTTTCCTTCCCTGATCTCGTGGCCACGAGCTTCCCAGGCTGCCGTGGGCAATCCGGCGCGGTTGCATGGGCTGTGCCACGCATGTGCTGCATGGCCAGCGCCGCTTCCTTGGGGCATCCCGCTGCTCCCTCCGCTCCGCCGCCCACACGAAGCCCGCCCGCCCCGGGCCGGGCTGCTCCGCTCTCCGTGTCCCACCAGAGCTGCGTCCGTACCCCTCCCTCAATTCCATGACCTTCCACCCCGGGTGGAGCCTGGCTTGGGCCTGGAGACGCCTGGCTGGAATGTCACCACCGCGGGGGTTCGGCCCCTGCAGCGGCGCTGCGGGATTGGCCTCTCCCCGCAGCGCCCAGCACGGAGGGGACGCCGAGCCCCCGCGGCGCCGCTGCTGGGTGCTGGGCTGGACTGGGAGGGACTGGGACGCTGGGATGGGCTGGCTGGCAGCACGTGAGCGGGCGCCACGGGATTTGCCTCCACGCAGCAGCCTAATTATCCCGCATAGCAGGTCGGCCGGCGTGCTGGGAAGGCGCTGGCGGAGCGGCGGCCGCGGGAGCGGGTGGGCATCCGGCCCTGGCGAGCCCCCCGGGAGGCAGGATGGTGGCGGCCCGAGCCCCCCGTGCCGCCGGCAGGGCCGAGCCGCGGGCGAGAGGCGGAGGATCCGGGCGCTGCCCCCGCTGGCTACCGCCGGAGCGCTCCCTGCGCTGGGGCATCTTCTCTCTAACTCTCTTCTTTTCCTTCCTCCAATTTTGCCCCTTCACCTTCTTCTCCTTTCTCTCCTCTCCTCTACCCTTCCTCTCCCTAAGTTTCGAGGACTCCACCCTGTCCACAGCCACTACCCTTGAGTATATCCCCACCTCAGCAGGCGATCCCAAATTCCAGAGGCCCCGCACGCTCGTGCGCCAGCAAAGTCTGCAGCAGCCCCTGAGCCAGCACCAGCGCGCCAACCACAGCCAGCCCACCACCAGCCAGAGCCTGGGCCACCTCCAGGCCCACAGCGGCTCCTCCGCCGCCGCCGCCAACTCCCGGGGTTCCCGCGGTGGCCCGGCGCGCCAGGGCACCGCCGCCGGCTCCAAGCAACGGATGGCCGGGGGCAGGAGCCGCTCCAACCCCGGCAGCTGGGACCACGTGGTGGGGCAAATCCGCAACCGCGGCTTGGACATGAAGTCCTTCCTGTAAGTGTGCGTTTGCCATCACTGCCCTCTCTGCATTCTCCTCTCCACCCCCCTCCATACCTCTCTCCATCCCTTCCCCTCCTTTGCTCTCTCCAATCCATCACTCTCTCATGTGCTCTATCCCTCTGCCCCTTTGCTCTCTTCTTTCCCTCTCCATCCCCCTCTGCTCTGCTCTGTCCCTCTGCTCATCCCTCTCTAGAACCCTCGCTCCCTCCCTCTCCTCTATTCCTTCCTTCTGCTCATCTCTCTCTCTCCTCTGCTCCTTCACTTGCCCCAGCGCGGCTGCTCATCCGTCACCTCCTTGGGGACACGCTGCCCATGGCCTGCAGGAAGGTTCATGCCCCCCCGGCTCACGGGGGGCTCAGGAAAGGGGCTCATGCACTTCCCCAGTGTGCTTTGCCACGTCCCTGGCCATCCCCTTCCATCCCCAAGGACGGCCACCAGCGGGGTCCCCAGGTAGTGGTGTTGTCCCAAGTTGTCACAGGGCGGGTGGCAGAGTCTCCTGTGCTGATATCATTTCCCAGCCGGAGGAGCCGTGGGATCATTAATCTGCCTTAACCCCATCTCCTCCATCGGCGCTGGATTTCCAGCATCAAACCTCAGGGACTAATCCGAGTCCCGTGTTGTCACTGCATCCTCAGCATATGACATTGTCCCTCCTCTGCAGAGCTGAGACCCTCGGCTCCGTCTTCCCTTGTATTCTCCATCTCCTCTTTGGCCGCTGTTTCCCCCCTGGCATCCTGGAAAAAGGAATGCTGAGGTCCCAGCTTTGCTTTCCGCAGGCTGGTGCCACTTGGAGGGGGACGCAGGACTGACCCTGCCTTTCCATGACTTGACACAGCACTTCCTGCATCAGGATTAGACGAGAAATAAATCTGTGTATCCATTCCCGCTCTGGTGAGAAGGTTGAACCTTCCTCCAGGCACCCTAGGGTGCGCTGCCCACGATCCCCTCTCCGCTCATCCCTCTCCCAGGTTCCTCCCAGCTCCATTTCCCAGCTTCCCAAGGTGGAGCTGCGGCTCACCAGCCACCCCGAGGGTCACGTTCTCCCTGTTTACCCAGCACCGGTGCTGGTTCCAGCCTCTCTTGGCGGAGTGGGAGCAGCCGCAGAGCCCAGACGTGCCGAGTCAGCGCCACTTTCCAGCGGAGAAGCCGCTGTCATTTCCCTCCGCCTCTTTCCCGATCCATCGATTTTTCTTTCGCTCTTCACCCTGTTCACCCTCCCCGGCGCCGCGGCGTAAATGCGATTACTAGACCCGGGCGAGGACCCGGAGAGGGCAAAGAGCCTTGGCCATGGCACCGCCAATCCCTTCCTCCATGGAATGATGTCACTCCTGTCACACTTTCCCTCATTCCCAGCCCCTCCAGGCATATTTTCCCCCCTTCATCAGGATTTTGGCATCCTCCCTGCCCGGACCGGTGGAGGAGAGGGACAGCGCGGGTATCCACGCGTGCCGGGCTCCCTGGAGCCGGCGCCTTTCTCCCCACAGCCCTGTGCACCCATCCCGGCCATCGTCACTTGGCAGGAGCCGGCGGGGACAGCCAGGGTCCCCTCGCCGCCGGGGGTCCGCGGGACGCCGCCGGCTCCTGCCGGTTCCCTGCCTGACGCTGTGTTCTCCTCTCTCTTTCTCTCTCTCTCCCGCTGCCGGCGGGGCCGCCCGGGCAGGGAAGGCCGGATGGTGGTGTTATCCCTGGTTTTGGGACTCTCAGAGCAAGATGACTTTGCCAATATTCCCGACCTGCAACCCGCTGGGACGCAGCCGAACCAGGCGAACGCTCAGGGGGACAAGAGGTATGAGCGAGGACGAGGCCAGTCCCGCAGGAGGAGGAGACGAGGGCCTCACCCAGGGTGGAGGAGGAGGAGGAGGAGGAGGCTGGCCTCGTGGAGCGCGAAGGTTGGAGCGGCACAGGGTGGCCCAGCGGGCACCGGGACGTCTGAGCTCTCCCCGGCACCGGCACCCGCGGTTCTGCCTCCGGAGCAGCGGCACCGAGAGGACCCCCATCCCTTCCTCCTCCCTCCTCCCTCCTTCCTCCCCCTCCTGCCCTTCCCGGCCCTGGCTGCATGCGGGAGGGCGGGGGGAGGGGGGGACACGCGCTGAGGGACAGGGGGACACGGGAGGTACCCCCCAAGTGATGCCGCATGGGCTGAGCCGCGACCCATCCCGACACGCTGCTGCCACCTCCATCCCGGCGGGATGGGCAGCTCCCCTGGGAATCCAGGAACACCGCTGCCGTGGCAGGGGGACAGAGCGAGCGCCACAGGCTGGGGGGGACGCCGTAACCCCAGCACGGCACAGCCCCTCGCCTCCCGCTGCTCCCCGCATTCCCGACGTGCCGCAGGCTCGGCAGCGCATCCAGCCCCGGCACCGGCGCCCGGCCACGGCCACCGGCGCTGGCTGGCAGAGGCACAGGGTCCGTGCGCCGCCGGGAGCGGGTGTTCATCCCCTCCGGAGCGGGGAGGAGGTGTGAAGCCGGCGGGCTCTGCCTCCCCGTGTGCTCGGCGTGCGGATGAACTGGCACCGTTCTCGCCCGCCGGCTATTTTTACCCCGCTCCGCTTGGTTTCGCTCCATCTTTTAGCACTTCCCTCCCCGGCGTCGCGCTGCGCAGCCGGTCCCCGCCGGGAGCACCGGCAGCCCGTGCCGGCCGCCGGCTGCCCCGTGCCGAGGGGACGGGGACGTGAGACACGGCGGGTGGGTGGCTGTGCCGCAAGACCCCGCTCCCCGCTTGCCGCAGCTCCCTGCTCCGAAACCCCATCCCAGCACATGCATGGCATTCCCCACCTCCATCCCTCCCGCTCCTCGTTCCCTGGGCTCCGCAGGACGCGGCGGGATCGGCCGGCGGAGGGGACTCTCTCCGGCAAGCCTCGGCTCTCTCCCGCCCACCGACGCTGCGGACCACCCGCTCTTCTTCCTCAAAACATCTCCTCCATCCCTGTTTCGCAGCTTCTTCCTTCCAGCCCGTCCCCGGCGGCTCCAGCCTGGCTCCTCGGCGTGTCTCCTATCCCAGCGACTCCGTCTGTCTGTCCAACCACCCCGCTCCTCTCTCCCATTCCCTCCTGGCAGGCCGGCGCTGGACGACGCTGCTCCTCCTTTCTTTTGCTCTCTCCCGCTCTCTCTCCCGCTCTCTCTCCCGCTATCCGTGACCTCCGCCGGCATTCCCGGCTCCACCGGCGCCTCCTCGCTCAGCGGCCCCGCCGCCGGCTCCTCCGCCTTCATTTTCCCTGATTTTAACCTAATTTTGCCTCCCCAGCTGCCTCGGCCTCTCCAGTCCTTCCTGGGTGCCATCCCGTGTGTGCGTGTGGGTGTCCCCATCGCCCCCCCATGTCCCCTCCCCGTGTGTCTGCGTGTGCTTGGCGTGGTGGTGCGTGTCCGTGGCATGTTGTGGCTTCCCGTGTGTCCCTGCGCCTCTCGGTCCGTCTGGTGGTTTGTCACCGTGTCCCAGCTCGGACAGGAGCCGTGGCGGGGGGAGTGGAAGCATCCCGGGCTGCCTGTCCCCTCCGCCACGTGCCGATGTCCCGTTGTCCCCGTGCCTCGTGGCAGCGTGGCCTCGGCGCATTCCCGCCCGTCTCCATCGCTGCTCTGTCCGTCTGCCTCCCGCCGCTCCCGGCTGCCCACCCTGCCCGGCACCGTGCCCGGGAGCCACCGTGCGTGGGGACAGCCAGGACAGTGATCTCAGGGGTGTCTCAGCCACAGCAAAGTGGGGTAGCAGGCAGAGAGCCCACGTGGAGCACCCATGGGTGCCTGGCGCCCACCGGGGTAAAGGGCTTTGGTGTGTGAGGAGCAGCCAGAGCCGCGGGTGCTGTGGGGACCACGCTGTCCCTGCCATCGCCGTGGGACGTGGCCAGGGGGACCTGCTGCTGCTCCTAAAGGTGCCAGGCCACCAGCTGGCTCTGGGAGCAGGACCGGGATGCTGGTGGGCTGCAGCCACAGCGTGTCCCGGCAGAGTCCATCGGGAGCTGACACAGCCCAGGCTCGGTATCCGCTGGGAGAGGGCGCCCGGGAAGCCCCTCGCTGCCTCTCCCTCGGCTCCCGGCCCCTCTCCTCCAACGCCTCTCTTCCCACAGGTTGCCGGCCGGTGGGAAGGCTGGGAACGCGGCACCGGCAGCGGGGCAGCCGCCGCACGATGAGTCCGACCGCAAGACGGAGCCGCACTCCTCCGTCTCCGACCTGGTCAACTCCCTGACCAGCGAGATGCTCATGGTGGGTGGGTGGGGTGCGCTGGGTTTGGTGCTCTCCACGGTCGGTATCAACCCTCCCAGCTCTTCCCTGCGCCATCCACAAGCACTGCGGCACGTCCCTGCCCGCTGTGCCGAGTCCCCGTCGGCTGAGCCGACGTGCCGCGGACGCGTTCCCCAGGCTGGCACGAGGGAGCAAGTGGCGCTGGACACGTGAGGGATGCGCTGTCAGGAAGAATTTGGCTAATTGGAGCTCCCGTTCCGCGGGACGAGTGGCGCCGTGCCAGGAGCCGTCGGAAGCGGTGGGGGCAGCAGGAAGCCGGGGAGAGGCTGATGTCCCCTGACAGCTGGCGGGGCTGGGGTCGGGGGGACGGGGGTCGGGTCCCTGCCAGCCCGCAGTGCTGCTCTCACCTCCCTCCTCTTCCCCCCTCTTGCAGCTCTCCCCGGGCTCCGAGGATGACGAGGGCCACGAAGGCGTCAGCAGGGAGAACCTGGGCCGCATCCAGTTCAGCGTCGGCTACAACTTCCAGGAGTCCACCCTGACCGTGAAGATCATGAAGGCGCAGGAGCTGCCCGCCAAGGACTTCAGCGGCACCAGCGATCCCTTTGTCAAGATCTACCTGCTCCCCGACAAGAAGCACAAGCTGGAGACCAAGGTCAAGAGGAAGAACCTCAACCCGCACTGGAACGAGACCTTCCTCTTCGAAGGTATGGATTGGGATGGACTGGAGGGGATCAGGGTGGGAGCGGAGCCTCGTGGGACCCTCCTGGGGTTCAGCTCAGCTCAAGCCACCAGAGTGGTGGCTGTTGGTGATGTGATGGGTTGGCCAAGCCACCGGGGCCAGGCTGGATGTGCATCCCACAAAGGGGACGTGGGGGAAGGTCTGGAAGGCTCCGTGCCCCCGTGAGTGGGTGCAGATGTGGGAATTAATGTGGCAGCAGCTTCTTGCGCCGTGGGCTCTGCCTGGTGTCACCAGGACAGGAAGGGTGGCACAGTCCTGGAACTGCTCCTCACCTCCTCTGGCTTTTCCATCTCCTGCACAGGGTTCCCCTATGAGAAGGTGGTGCAGCGGGTGCTGTACCTCCAGGTCCTGGACTACGACCGCTTCAGCCGCAATGATCCCATTGGAGAGGTGTCCATCCCGCTCAACAAGGTGGACCTGACTCAGATGCAGACCTTCTGGAAGGACCTGAAGCCCTGCAGTGATGGCAGTGTAAGGCCCTGGACCCCTCCCATCCCCTGCGGAGGGGAGGTGACCCCCTGTCCCTGCAGTGTCCCAACAGGACCGCCCCCCGTCCCAACAGGGACATTTTCTGTTGCAACATCTGACAGAGATTTCCTCTTCCCAAATATTATATTACGTAGCCCAAAATCTCATTTTGGGTCAAACCAAACTGTTTCAGGTAGACCTAAAATGAAAGGTTTTTTCCTTTTCCTGCCTCCAGCAAGACCAGAAAATGTCCCACTGGGGGCGGCCCCATTTCCTCCTGCCCTGATTTTCTGTGCTTTCCCGAACCCCACCCTTGCCCTGCTCTGGCGGGGGTCCCTAAGCACCCTGTTCCCACAGAGGAGCTCTGGGGGGCGTGGGTGTCCTCAGGGAATGCGTGTGTCCCACAGGGAAGCCGTGGGGAGCTGCTGCTGTCGCTGTGCTACAATCCCTCGGCCAATTCCATTGTGGTGAACATCATCAAGGCGAGGAACCTTAAAGCCATGGACATCGGGGGCACCTCAGGTACGGCGCCGGCTGTCCCCGATCCCGGGCGCCATTCCCTGGCTCCCATCCGGGGCTGAGAGCGGCTCGTCTCCCGCCAGATCCCTACGTGAAAGTGTGGCTGATGTACAAGGACAAGAGGGTGGAGAAGAAGAAGACGGTGGTGATGAAGCGGTGCCTGAACCCTGTCTTCAACGAGTCCTTCGCCTTCGACATCCCCACGGAGCGGCTGCGCGAGACCACCATCGTCATCACCGTCATGGACAAGGACAGGCTGAGCCGCAATGACGTCATCGGCAAGGTGGGTGACACGCCCAGGGGACCCCCAGGTGGGAACTGGGGACAGCCAGGCCCGGGGTTGCCGGCACCTGGCGCCATCTCCAGTGTGGGTGCCACAGAGGGGCCGGCACTTTCCCAGAAAAGCAGGGATGGAGCATGGGGAGGGAGCCACACCGGGATGGATCCCACCCCCTGGGATTAGTCCTGGGGATGAGAGCGGCGGAATTATCCATTAAATCACCCAGCTCATCGTTAGCGCAACGATGACAAATGAGCGCCATAATCTCCGCCCATGATCCCCAAACGCCGCGCTGGGATCGGGAAAACACATAAATGGGATAAATCCATTAAATAAATCCCCGGATCAGCGCCGCGGGCTGCCGGGCAGGGGCGGAGGTGGCGGTGTGGGCACTTCCAGGGATGGACAGGCAGCGTCCATGATATCCCACTCTCCGTTAAAACCCCGCTGTGGCCTGAGGCTCGCTAATCACTTTTGATCGCATAATTAGCAGCGAGCTCTGCTCCATCCCGGCTCTCTCGGGCGATGATCCGCTGAGCCGGAGCGGTGGCACCGGCTCCCCGAGGTGGCAGCAGCAGCAGCGAGAGCTGGCACACGCGCTTTTCCGCGGTGCCATATGGAAAAATCGAGGGATAAAAATAGCCCGGCTCCGTGCCGAGCCCGGAAAAGCGGGGCTGGAGCAGTTTGGGGGTGAAACCGCCAGCGCCGGGCAGCGGGATGGGGATGGAGCGGCCGTGGTGGCTTCAGGGATGCGTTTCCCGCAGATTTACCTGTCCTGGAAGAGCGGTCCCGGCGAGGTGAAGCACTGGAAGGACATGATCGCCCGCCCGCGGCAGGCGGTGGCACAGTGGCACCAGCTGAAGGCCTGAGCGCCCCCGGACCGCGGGCTCGGGGTCCCCCTCCCAGCTCCCAGCCCCTTCCCGCGGTGCTCCCGGCCAGGGGCCGGCGGGACAGCGGCCTGGCTGGCGGGGACCCTGCGGGAGGATGGGGACGGAGCCCCCCCGACCCCCCGGGTTCGCCTTTCCCTGGGGTGTGGGGGGTGCGGAGCCGCCCCCAACCCCGGCCGAGGAGGTGCCAGAAGCGATGTCCCCCATCCCTATTCCCACCACCGGGCAGGACTTCTGCGAGTGCTTCCAGCCCCGCTCCCGGAGCCCCTCGGCCCCTCCCCGGCCTCCCCCTCCCCTATTTCAGGGGGTCAGGCTGCGGGTGCAAGAGGGATCCTCCTCCGTCCCCTTTCAGCTCCATAAAACCTCTCGGAGCCGCCAGAGGAGCCACGGAGCCCCCCCTGTCCCGCCCCGTCCCCTTCGCGCCCTCCTCGAGTCTCCCGGGGCGGGTGTGGGACACCGAGGGGAGGGGACAGCCCCTTTTCCTGGGATCGGAAGCCATGACACAGTTCCTTATCCAAAGCGGGCTCCTTCGTGCACTGCCTTCAGCCGGGTTCGATGCTTTACCTCCGTCTTGGGTCTCGGCAGGAGCGGGGGGTCCCTAATCCGCCCTGGGGACCCTCGGTCCTGCTCTCCTCCCCACCTCGGGCTGGAAGGGGCCCCTCCGGGGAATGCGGAGCTCCACAGGGTCCTTTTCCAGCCGGGTTGCTCCTGGCCCACCCCCGGGGATAAAGGGTGGAGCGAGCGCTGTTGTCCCCAACGAGGGCAGGTGACATTCCCTGGGCTGGTGGCTTTCCTTGGGACAGCCAGCCTGGCAGGATCAGTGCCAGCAGCAGCATCCCCCCGGAGCCCTGGGATGCACATGCCAGACCCCTTCCCGCTCCCTGGGACCCCCAAAAACAGGGACAGACTCACCTGGGAGCCCCACAGGGTGACAACGGGGTCGGGGGTGGCTCTCCGTGGCAGACGCCGGATCATCCTCAGTCTTCCTGCTCCCCGCGTGGCACCCTTGGCTCCCAGCAGCTCCCACAGCCCCAATTTAGACGATTTTGGACAATCTGGAGAGAAGTCATAATACTGCTATTACAGTAATAACAACGCTTTTAGGGACATTTGTATTTTTGTCATATTCTCTCTTTTTTTAACATAAAAGAAGAGACTTACATGCCTGGGGAAGGGGTGGCAGGGCCAGGGCTGTGCCAAGCTGGGTGCCCCCCGTGGCCCCTCGGGCACCCCGCTTTTCCAGGCTGGATTCCTCGTCCGCGGTCGGGCTCCCCGGGGGTTTGTGTGTTCATTTTTAACTCTAGAGCTCGTAGCCGTGATCTTGTTCAGGTTCTCTCTTCTTCATGTGACGGTAACATCCAACTGGTGTGTAAAATACAGAAAAAAAAAAAAAAAAAAAAAAAAAAAAAAAAAAAAAAAAAAAAAAAAAAAAAAAAAAAAAAAAAAAAAAAAAAAAAAAAAAGATAAAAAATCCAATAAAGAGCCTGGCCCTGCCTGGCTGAGGAGCAGCTGGAGTGGAGGGTGCCCGGCTGGTGATGCCAAGGATGGGACACGCAGGGCGGGGCGTTTCCTTCGAAGAATCCTATTTTTGGGGAGCGGGGCCCCTCGTTTTCTGGAGGCAGCCCCTGCTCTCAGTAATAAAGGACAGTCAGAAACTGCCAGTGTGAGTTGTCTCTGGGATTGGGGGAATGCGGGGGGCGGATCCTGGGGTAGGAATGGTGGGCACCATGGCTGAGTGGGCATCCCTCCAGCACTGAGCATCCCCCTCCCAGCGTTATCCTTCCCAGTTCTGAGTATGCACCCACTATTATCCCATCCATTACCCAGTATCTCCCCAAAACTCTGGGATCCTGCTGGGATTGGGATGCCCATGGGGGCTTCAGGGAGAGCAGTGACCCCCATAGCCTGCTTGGAGCTAGGTGAGTTTCCATCCCATCCAGGTCTGGGCTGAGTTCCTTGGCACGGGATGTGCTGGATAGGGACTGGAAGGTGGCTCCAAAAGGAAGGAAGACGCAGGGAACCATATCCTGTGTCCTGGTGCCATTGAAAAGGCTCTGGTGGCTGTTAAATAATTCATGGAATGCTGGTCTTGAATAAATAAATGAAACTCCAAACCCAAGGATGGCAGGAGGGCTATCCATGTCCTCCCTGCATGGGATAAGATCACTCTGGATCCACCCTTCAGGCCCTAGGATGCAGTATTGGAGGTGGCAGCAGGGGACAACGCTGTCCCCTTGCCACCTGCACCCCGGTAGAGAGGAGGTGGCTGCTGCTTACACCCACTCCGGCTCCAGCTGAGCCAAATCTGGGAATTTTAGCATTCCCAAGCTGCCCATGGCATCGGTGCCACCGATCTTGGCTCTGCCTGGACTCTTACACCAACGCCGGGCTCCATTTATCCTCCCAAAGCTTTGAAAGCGCAGCGATCCCGGTGCTCCTGTTGCACGGATGCACAGCCATTCCCAATCCCGTTGCTTTGTGCTGGCAGGCAGCGGGAGCAGATGGAAATAGCAGCGTGATCCCAGCTGCGGCGAGGCCACAAACTGTCGCACGCGGGGCCGGGAGAGGAGGCAGGGATATATATAGGGACAGACGTATGGATGATGCACTGCTGGGAGTGAGGACTTGCCGGTGCCAGCGGCCCCAAAATACTCGAGCGGAGCCAGAATCTGTCAGATTCCCACTGACTGCGGCAGCTCCTGGTCCTGGTGTCACCACCATCGTCACCAGCACCTGCATCCCGACCCAGCTCCTTGGGGAAAGCAGGATGGTGGGAAAAGGCTGCAGAGAGGGAGGACTCCCCTATCCCAGGTGTCAGAGCTCCTGGATCTGATCCCGGCCACAGTGGCATCCAGAGCCACCTGCATCCCAATTTCTGAATGAGTGGGCTGGCAGGGATCTGCATGGAGTTGGTGGCATCAAATCTTATCTTACAGCAGGGGCTTGGAATGCTGAGGGTCTCTGCCAGGGTCAGCACCCTCGGGATTATGGATAATTCCTTGTTAATTAGAAGCAGTGTCTTCCCAGATAAAGCAACAGCACCCTGGATCGATGGCACAAAGGGCTGGGAGACACCCAGAATTCCAGGAGTGTGTTCCTGGGATGTTGTGGGATCCTGGGATGTTCTGCCCTACAGTGAAGAGTGCCTGGGTGGGAAAAGGGATTGACAGCCTGTACCTATTGGGAAGACCTGATTCCAAGCTCCTGATAAGCCCCATACCCCTGAAATTACCCCAGAGGAGCTTGCACTGACAGCTCCTGCACATCCCGCAGCTGAGGAAGCTCCACGTGTCCAAAATAGCCGTGGTTCCTGCTGTGGAATAGGAAGTGGAGGGAAAAAAACCCGGCAGCACCTGGCCTGCCAGTGCCAGAGCGGATGTGGCACGAGTTCTGGCTGCCTCCCAGCCCCAAACCCAAATCCACGGCCCTTAAAAGCGGATGCGTGGTTTGAAACCTCCAGTGAGCTCCAGACCTCGGATCCCCGAGCTTCCCACCACACCAAGCTCAGCTCGGAGATGGGCGGAGGCAATCAGGATTCTTTGAATGTCCAAAATAAGAGGAGTTGGTGGTCACACACCAGGATATATCACTTGGTTTTAGGGGATCCCAAATAAACCCTTCCCTGAGGCTGGTCACTTTTTTCTCATAACGAATTCCTTGGATTTGTGCTGTTTATTGCTTGTGTTTGGTCCAAGAGGCACTTGGAAAGAGGAAGAGGGAGGATAAGGTGTCAGCCCTGGATCTGGTTCCTATTTTGGGACAGACAGTGCCAGAGATGAGCCTCCTCTTCCCACAGAGGCAAAACCCTGTCCAGGTTGGAGACAGGCAGTGCTTAGACCCAGGTGGAATTTCCATTGGTTCATTTCCAAACCTGCTGGCCAGGAGGACCCTGGTGGAAAATTCTCTGCTCCAGCCCAATTCCAGCAGCAGGATGGGGTTCTCAGGGTCTGTGCATTTGTTCCCAAACCTGGGAGCTGTTCAGGGTGATCCATAGAATGGATGCAAACAGCATTGCTTTTTCCTGTGCTGCCCATTGGGATAGGAGTAAAGGATTTCCAGAGGTGGAGGAGTGGAAATGCCCCCGTTCTCGTGGGGTGGCAGTGTGGGATCACCCCTCAGGACGGGGGCTGTATCCCAATCCAAGGCACCCTGGAGTATGTGGGATGCTCTCAGGTGGGATAACCATTGGGACCTATGAGCCCTGCAGGCCCAGGACACAATTCTGCTGTCCCAGCTGGATAAGGGTGATCCTCAGACCGCTGGATTTCCTTTGTGGAGGCTGTAAACTTCCTCCTTTCCCAGCCCTAGATGGGAATTCCCTGGGAGACAGGTGGAGGCTCTGCACCCCTTCAGGGAGACAATGGCTCATGTTTCCTCAGGAGATCCCGTCAAGGCTGCAAATTCCCGCTCCCCATCCTCCGGCCCATCCTCAGGGGATACCGGGGCAGCCTCGGTGCATTCCTCCTCCTCCTCCTGCCGCTGCAGGCTCTGCAGCCGCTCCTGCCGCGCTTCCATGAATTCCTGTGCCCCGTCCCCCACCAGCTGCACTTCATCCCCGACACAAGGCGGCTGCCGGACAGGATTGTGGTCGTAGGACAGGAGGCGCAGGGAAGCGAGGCCGGTGAGGTCCGGGAAGCTGGCAATACGGTTGCGATCCAAGTCGAGGACGCGGATGTGATCCATGCGCAGCAGCACGGGCGGGAACTCCTGGAAGCGGTTCCCGTAGAGCCAGAGCCCCCGCAGGCCGGCCATGCGGGGCAGCGCCGCGGGCAGCCGGCACAGCCGGTTGTCCCCCAGCTGGAGGCTGCGCAGCTCCGTCAGCTGCAGGAGGGCGCGGGGGAAATGCGCCAAGAAGTTTCCCTCGATCCAGAGGCAGCGCAGGCTCTGGAGCTGAGCGAAGGAGGGCGGCAGCCCCTGCAGTCCGTTGCGGCCCAGGTACAGGTGCGCCAGGTGGGGCAGGTCGCACACGGCCTCGGGCACCTCCATCAGCTCGTTGCCGTCCA